AAAAAAAAAAAAAAAAAAAAAAAAAAAAAATTATTGGAATTTTTTTTTTGAGAAATGTTTCTTTCGAAAAAGATAAAGATAAAGATAAAGATAAAAATAAAAAAAAAAAATAAAAAGAATTAATTTTTTTTTTTTTTTTTGGAGAGAGATTTTTTTTTACAAAAAAATAATAATGTTTTTTGTGAAGCGTTTAATTTGCATAATATTTATATTTTGAATTTATGAGAGAAAATTTTATACATATGAAGATAAAATTTTCACGTAATCAATATTCATATAATTTATTTGCATTTTTAATAAGTATTTGTGTTTTTTTAATTCAGCAGCAATATAAAATGATTGCTGAATATAACTCATAATAAATAAACTAGTAATTATAATTAATTAATAATTAATGTTAAATAAGTATTTAAATTTTTAATAAAAATAAGGATTTATTTATTAAAATAAATAAATGCCTTTTGAAACAAAAGAATGCTGAACGAAGTAGATTATAATTAAAGATCACTCGTTCAAAGCAAATAAAAATATACATAAGTATACGAAAATCGTAGAGTCATCTCTACATGCTTTTTATTAATTGGTTTGTTCAGTACTATAGTAAAGTCCCCGAACACCCAGTTAATAAATCATATATGCATTTTAATGTACGTATTTCATCATAAATTTTTACATGTACAAGTTAATTTCTTTAATATTCATTCTTATTACAATTATAAAGGTCAATAATAATATCTATTGATCACCTGACTATTTTATATTTTTAACATATATATCGACTATTATTCCAAGAAGATATATAATATTTTCTATTAACCAACATTTAAATGTTGGTCTATAGACCTCCTTTGTATAATGTATAGATAAATAAATAGAATTAAAATATTTTGTTTTACGTATGTTAAATCGAAGGGACAAGGTACAATCTCAAACATGTACATTGAAATAATTATTCAAAAGTATGTACACTAAAAAAAAAAATTTTTTTAAATAAATAATAATTTTTTTTTGTTTTTGTATATGTAAATTTTAAAAAAAAAAAAAAAAATTAAAAATTTTTTTTTTTTTTTTGAAGTAGGTATGAGTATATGTATGAATTACTAGAGTGTATATTTTAAGTTAAAATGTAATATTAAGGAAATCACATTTTAAGTGTTGTGTAACTTAAGAAAAAAAATAATTAACTGATAATATTAGATGTTTATTAATAAGAATATAGATTTTTAGATTAAAGTTTTAATTAAACAAAAATTAAATTAAGTAGAATTTACCTACTCTTTATTAATTTGTTTGTTCAATACTAACAAAGTCATTGAACAAGCAATTAATAAATCACAAATTCACATACATAATTACCTTTCCTGCAATTATATATTTACAATAAAATAACAGATTTACACCTAGATAATTATATACATCTTATAGAATTATACATGTTGTAATAAAAAAAAATATTTATTTCTCATCCTAAAGTTTTTATCACTTTTTTTAATAATATTTATTAAAAACTATAGAAAAAAATTATTATTCTTCCAAAAAATAATTCAAGAAATAATTATTTATCCTTTAAAAAATATAAAAACTAATTTTTTTTATAAATATAATCATACCCTACTATATTTCAGATGATACACATTTTTTACAAATTATTTTATGGTTTTAGTATAAAACTTTCCTGCACATATCCTTGATATATCTCGATATATGTATATCCATTATCTTGCATTCACATGAAACCCTTTAAAATATTCCAATACTATTATATAAAATCCTAAAAAGTTGAATTATATTTTTAATTGATAATAATTAGTACAATATATAAAGTGTACATTGCATTATTGACTTATATCATTCAATTATAACATTTATAATCCTTTTTATGTAACTAAGTTAATATTTATTTAGTAAATGATTAAATGGTGTGCTTTATGGTGTTTTCTATATCCCAACAGTAGTCTTGTATATGCTTGTTATTTTCATAATTTTATTTTCTCAAATTAATGAAATACATTTACACTTTTTTCTTAGTTCATCTTTATCCTTATATGAAAATAAATTATTTTTATCAATAGTATTTTGAATAGTTAATTTATTAGGTGTTATCTTATCTGTTTTTCTCATTTTATTTCTATTTTATATATATATTTTTCTCCTTTCATAATTGATCAACAAAAATGTTTCTATCTTTTTAAGTACTTATCCAAGCAACATAGAATAGGACTAATGATAACTATATTCATAGAAAAAATATTTAAAAATATGCCTTAATAGTCTAGTCATTTATTAATATTTCATTCAATTACTATACTATTTTTGAACAATTAATAAAGAGTATGCGGAAAAATACTCCATCTATTTTGTTATTCATAAATTAAAATATTATCATACTATTAATATTTTATTTATTATCAAATATTAATTACATCAGTTAATTACTATTGATGTTAATTGATACAATATCTCATATATATCACATTTTACATTCCTAATCTTTTGTGTAAAGAAAAAAAAAATATTTTTTTTTTTAAGCATTTATTTGTTCATATTTTCCCCATATTTTAACTTCTACAAATAAAAAAAATATATTTTACTTATTTGAATATCGTTAAAAATAGGTCGATAATATAATTTATATACCATATGGTTAATGATTCTGTTTTAAAATATTGGTTAAATAAATCATTGATCTTTCTAAGAATCTATTTAATGATAGTGGCTTATTTTAAAGTATTTCCTAAATATTCATGATTATTAAATGGAATTTACATAATTAAGCATAAAGAGACGAATCACATATTTAGTATACTCAAAAAAAACCATGTAGTAGCTAATAATAAAATGCATATTTTCTAAAATGTGTTAGATATATGTTTATATAATATACATGATATTAGTAACATATTTATAAAAAAAAATTAAACTTGCGTTTTTCTTCTTTGATTTTTTTTTGGAATTTACATTCTGACAATTTATTTTTTATAGTTTTATAAAAAATCATTTAAAGATATTATAAAAAGTGAGGTATATAATAAATATGTTAATTTTATTATAAAATGATAATTGTATAAACGATATAAAATTAACTATTCAAATAATTTTACACTGTATAATTAGAGATTTTTCTATATGTTCTTTACAAATTTGACTATTCAAAATGCTATAAAAATCTTTGAATAGTTAATAAAATTGACGTACAAATATAGGAATTCATGTTTTCTTTTTAATATGAATTCATACCTAGAACTACGTGTCCTATCAACTAAATGTGTTACCATGAGATATGAGTGATTATTGATTGCTACTTATATAAAGAACTTTATGTCTTTCCATATTTTAAGTCTTTGCATTATGTCTGTTTAATGACTTTCCTAAAGTTTCTAACAAACGGATTAATAAATATCATGCCAAGATGCCTCTACTAATTTAGTTTAAGCATAATTTTTAATGATATAAACCAGTTAATTGTATTTTATATTCTAATTCGTTGGGCATTTATTGTTTTTTTATGACTTGATTATTTACTTTAACAAAAATTCCTACTTTTATTATAAATTTAAATTCTTCTTAAATGCCATTAATTTTTTTTTTTTCAAAAAGGTAAATGGTGACTTCTATTAACAACAAAATTACGAATAGGAAGTTAGTATCTCATTTAGGGTCTATAATTGGTTAAATAAAGGCATTATTAACTTTTTTGTGAATAAAAAGGTTAATATATATAGTCATGTATACTTTAGATTAAAAAAAAAAAAAAACTATTAACTTTTTTTTGTTTCTTTTATATGTTAAAAAATAAAAAAGTATTTTTTTTTAGGAAAAAAAAAATGGTAAATACTAAGAAATTTTTTTATATTTTAAAAGAAAATTTTATATTACTATAATAAAATTCTCATGTTTGTAATTTTTATACACTAAATTTGTACTTTATTAATTACCAATTTTTGTTAAATTAATAATAACGGTTTAAAATTGCTAAATATTATTCACGAAATTATAAAATATATTCAACTAAAAGTCAATAATTAATGAAGACTTAAATTTTTTATAAAAATATAGGATTTTAATTAAACTAAATAAATGCCTGATAAAAATAATTAATGTTCAATGAAGTAGAATATATAAATACCCATTTCTTGTTTATAAAATTAAAACTAAGTTTAAATTAAATTAGTAGAGGTAGCATTACATATTCTTTATTAATACTTTTATACAATACTTGGTTTATAAATAGTATAATCAACTTACTTTAAAATAGCATTTAAATAAATAAAATGAATAAAAACACTTTTTAATTGTACATATTAAAATTCTTGGAAAATGTGCATATACAAACTCTTAAATAAAAAAAAAATTTTTTTTTTTTTTCAGAAAATATTAATAATGTAATGAAAAATGTGAAATACATGGGATATTATATCAGTTAATATTGTTGTTAACTGATGCAGTTAATATTTAATACTATATGTTAAAATATTAATAATTTGATTAATATTTTAACTGAAGAAAAATAGAGTTTTCTCTATATGTTCCTTTTTAATTTGTATGCTCGATATAAGCAAGTTTATTAAATGAACAGTTAATAAATCAATACCCTAGAAAAATTAATAGAGGCACAATAAATAAATTGTGCAGCTCAAAATTTTTTATATATTCATACATATATTAAAAATCATGTTACACAATGATAAACATGAATCATTTATAGAAAATAATACTCTGGTAAATAAAAAAATATCATATATTTTTTAACTAAATAAAAAACAAAATAATGTTACATTAAATGAAATAAATCGATTATGCAATACTTCAATTTTTTTTCTTCCAATTTTATGATGAAAATTTTATTTATGAATAAAAAATTATTTAAAGTTTTTAATACCTTAATAATTTTAAATATATTAAGGCAATGATAGTGATAAAATTTGAAATTTTTTTTGTATGACCTCATAATATTTTTAATAAATTATTAATTTTATTTAAAAAAGTTAGAATTAAGTTAATTAGCAAGGTGGTTTGCCATCATCAGGTTTTAAAGGTAAATCTTTTGCAGGTCTCAGAGTTAAAAGACATAAATCACAAAGTAATCTTTGTACTCTCTTTGCTGCATTATTTAATTTCTCTTCTGATAATTTAATATGCGTGCACTGTTCATGTTTTCTAAGATTAGATTTTATCAAGGCCATATCATCAATAACTTTTTTTCTTTCTAAATTACCTTCCTTATTGCATGTTTCGAAAAAAACGTCTGCACCTGCCTTATCCTCTGCAGAATAAATTTCCTTTACTTTGAATATATATTCATCTGTCAATTTTTCTTCAAAACAAAAATCACGTAGACGATCACTTATTCTGTATGACATGTTATCGTGAAACTCTTTTTCTATTAGAAAGTTACATTCATGCATTCCAACATTAACAATTTCTTCTTTTATCGCATTATAATCTTTCAACTTTGCTTCCATCTCACTGTTGCTTTTACATTCCTTTAGCTTACCTAACATAGAATTTGTTGTTTTAAATTCTACATCACAACATCTGAAAAAATTATCAATATATTTTTCACAAGGTCTTGGTTTAGTTCCTGGTTTTAAGGAAGGATTTTCAGTTACTTCATCTACAGCCATATTTTCAAATAAATTAAATGTATTCCTTATTAATTTATTATAAGCTAATAAAATAATAAATTCTTAATAATTAATAAAATATATAAATAACTCTAAAATTATAATTTTCTTTATAATATGCAAAAATTATACGTATATATGTAGTGTTTGTTCAATATAAAATAACTTTTTATTAAAAAAATCTTAAATACAAATTTTTTTTAATTTCTTTTTATAATTTAAGAAAAATAATTTACTTTATAAAAAATTTTTTTTTTATATTTTTTTTATTTACATTAATAAAATTTAAACTTTGTTTTTAATTATAAATTATTAATTCTAAAAGATATTTTGCACACAAATTTCATATAATTTTAAAATTGCATGCATGCACTAAATATGAACATTTTTTTTTTAATAAAGAAAAAAATTACTATTCCTGTTTATCCTCCTTTAATAAGTAAAATTATATTTGAAAATATTATATATTATAAATTTAAAAAAAAGAAAATATATAAAATTTTTATCTATTATATTAACTTTAAATTATGATATATATAAATTTAAAACTCACATTGAGCAAACCAAAAAGTATCAAAGCGTATGAAATACATATTTAATTAAAAATTCAATAGCATTCTTTCTAGTAATAACTTTATATTTTCGTAGAGATAAAATAGAAATTATCAACATTAAGCTATGTTTTGGACATTTTTAAAAAATTATTAAAAAAAAATTTATTTATATATATAAAATTTTTAGCTTTTATACAATATTATAGCAAAAATGTACATTTTACACTTTTTGTTTTTAATTATTTTTGTAAAAAATTTTAAAATAAAAACTATTGTTTTTTTTTGATGTAAATTTTTATAAATAGCATGTATAATTTGGAATAAGAAAATGAAAGAATTTCAATGATACTAGCTTTGAAAATTAAAGAAAATATTTTTAACAAAATTCCCCTATCCTGATTTTATCCATAAATGGTATTATCAACCTATTTTAAATGATATTCAGAATTTATTAAATAAATATATTCTTATTTTTGCATATTAGAAGCTAGAATAATATAAAAATTTAAGTTGATAAATTAATAAAAAAAAGTATTCTATGTTTTTTTTTCTTTTCAGATAATACACTTAAAAGAAAAATTATTGAATTATTAAATAATATTTTTTAATGTTTTTTTTTTTTTTTTTTTATCAGAGGAAACATAATATTTAAAGTTTACGTTAAAAATTTATAAAAATGTAATACAAAATATTACATTTTTTTATTATGTAATTTAGTTTATATAATAATTAATAGCTTTATTATTTAACATTGTTATTAAATTAATAATTTTATGTAAAATATAGTTTTAAGACGAGTATAATAAGTATGAATTTCTCTACAATCTCTTTAATAGTCTGTATATTTAATAGTGGTTAAACCATTGAACAGTCTGTTAATAATTTATCAATTGTTAATTCCATAACATAGCAAGTATTAAACAAATAAATTAAAATCATTAAGAGAAAATTCTAATTGTTTTATTTTTATTAAATTAAAATATTAAGAAGATTAACTTTTATTAATCAATATCAAATATTAATTACGTTAATTATTGTCAGTTAATGTACACATTACTCCATGTATATAATGTTAAATATTAAATTATTAATCTTTCATAAAAAAAATATTTTATATCCGTCATGATCAAAGAGAAAAAAAAATTTTTTTTTTTTTGAAGTTATCATCCTTTTATAAAGAAAAATAAAAAAAAAAAAATGATTATTGAAAGAAAAATGAATATTTTTTTTTAAATGAGCGTCAAAAAAAAAAAAAAAAAAAAAAAAATCACTGTAAAAATATATCTATGTTTTTTTTTTTAGTATACATTTATATGTGTGATTTATTAATTGGGTGTTTGCTGACTTAAATTAATAAAGAGCATGTAGAGTTAACTCTACAGTTTTTATGTATTTATATTTACTTTTAAATGCTTTGAACGATTGATTCTTAATTATGTGATATACTTCGTTCAGCATTCATTAATTTCAAAGGTATTTATTTACATAAACAAAGGTATTTATTTACATAAATAAAAATCTTTCTTTTTATTAAAAATTTATATCCTCATTGAATATTGATTATTAATTAAATGTATATTACTTGTTTCTTTGTTAGGAGTTATGTTCAGCAATTTAAATATATTGCTGTTGAATTAACAGACGTAAACAATTAGTGAAAATACAAATTAATTATATGTATATTAATTACATGAAAATTTTATTATTACATGTATAAAATTTTTTCTTACAAAATTAATTAAAATTATAATTCGTTTCCCAAAAAAAAATATACTTGTTTTTTTTTTTATCAATTTTTTTTTTCCTGACGGTATTTTTTTTTTTATAAAAAATACAAACAAAAAAATTGATCATATTTTTTTTTTTTTTTTGTGTGTGTGCATGACCAACTACGCATTCTTCATATAACTAGTCCTTTTATTTTCCAAAAAGGTTAATAAAGCCTTTTATTAACCAATGTGTTCACATTTTCTTCGTATTTTAGCATGTAACAATAAAAATGTTTTTACTTAATTAGTTGAATATCATTTAAAATGAATTAATATTTTTTATATGATTTTCTTCATTAGCTTGGGAAAAATAAGGATATTATTTCATTTTATTTTCTCTAACTAGTTTTACAATCTCAAGCACTTTATCTTTTTATCTATTTTAATATCTCCATTGTCATTTAATCGATGTGATGTCGTCATATTTCTTTTATAAATACCAGAGTAGTCTTTATGTTTCAATTCATATAGACGTTTTGACTTATTATTAGTCTTTTCAATGTATTATATTAAATCTCATAATTGAGTATTGTGTGTTTTCGTAGTTTTATTAACTAATAGTTTTATTTTAGAAAGTATGGTTTGAATTTTTTAACCTCTTTAATATATAGCTGCTTGATTTATTAATTGCTTATTCATTGACCTTTCTAGAATATTTAACAAATAGAAAAATAAAGAGCATGTAGAATTTCCTATGCTAATTTAATGAATTTAAATTTAATTTTAATTCTATAAACTAGTATGCTGTCTATAGTTGATTAATAAAAGGAATTATTAACCTTTTTTTTGAGAATAGAAATAGCTAACTAAATGAAAAATACTTAGTTAAATATGCAAGCGATAGATAAAAAAAAAAAAAATTACTTGTTAATTTTTTTTCCTTTTTTTTTTATAAATAATATATATAAAAAAATATATTTATCTTTTTTTAAAAAAAATTTAATGGTGAATAAAAAAAATGTTTGCAAAATATTAGAAGTTACTATATGACAATAGAGATTCTTTGTAGAGAACTTTTATTTTGAATTTAAAGAGATAATTTTATATACTTAATAAAAATTTTATGTTTGTAATATATATATAATTTAATTTCTATTTCTTTAATTACTTATGTTTGTTAACTTGAAAACAGAGAACTTAAGTTGCTAAACATTGTTCTTAACATTATAGGTAAAATATATACATTTGAAATTTTATAATCCAAGAGAATTTAAATTTTTCAATAGAATTATAGGATTTTTATTAAGTCAAATATATTCTTCTTGAAAATAAAGAATACTAACAAAGTAGAATACATAAATACATTTTACTTAATTTATAGCATTTAAAATTATACAGAAATTCATTAAATTATTTGGGGTAACTTGCTCCTTATTAATGTGTTTGTTGAATACTTTATAAAAGTTACTGAAATGGCAGTTAATAAATCTCCATTCAAGTGCTACATATATAAAAAAAAAAGAATTATCTTTAATTTTTTTATGTTTCTTTTTATAAATAATATATATAAAAAAATTATATTTATTTTTTTTTGAAAAAGATTTATTGGTCGAGAAAAATAATTTTCGAAAAGAGTAATAAGTAATCTATTGACTAGAAAATTTCTTGGTAGTAAATTTTTATTTTGAATTTAAGAGAAAATTTTATATACATTTTAATAAAATTTTCATGTTTGTAATGTTTATTTATTTTTAATTTGTATTTCACTAATTACATGTCTCTTAATATAAAGGTAATGTACTTAAATTTCTAAGTATAATGCATAACATTATAAGTGAAATATGTTTAAGAATCAATGTTCAATGAGGATTTAAATTTATAATAAAAATAAGGATTTTCATAAAAGTAAATAAATGCCTCTTGAAGATCAACAAATGCTCAACGAAGCAAACCGTTGGTCTATAAATAATATTGCATACCTTTTTTGTATAATATTTAAATAAATAAATATAATAAAAAACATTTTAAATTGTGCATGCGAATCGTGGGAACAATGTACAATCAAAAATGTATGCACTTAAATAGTTATTAGAAAAGTATGTACACGGAAATAAATAAATCTTTTTTTTCATAGTATTTACAATTACAAAAAAAAAAAAAAATATATAATGTAATCTTAAAAAAAAAAATTTTTTTTTGGAGAGAATTATATATATATTTTTATGGAGAATAAATATATTTTATGGTAAAGTGTTTGTCTATAAATAATATTGCAGATCTCTTTTGTATAATATTTAGATGAATAAATGGAATAAAAATATATTATTTAGTTCTTTTGGAATTTCAGGTACAATATGCTATCATAAATGAGAACACTAAAATAGTTACTCAGAAAGTGTCTTCACTAAAAAAAAAAGTAATTTTTTTTTAATTTTTTTTTTTTTTGGGTAATGTGCAAATTATAGTGGACTGTGTATCATTTTTAACTTAAAATGTAATATTAGAGAAATTACATCTTGGAAGATTGTATGAATTAACTTGAAAAAAATAATTAACTAATAAGTAGTATTTGATGTTGATTAATAAAAATAAAGATTTTAAATTAAAATTAAATTAAGTAGAATTTACCCTATATTCTCTTTATTAATTTGTATGGTTGGTACTAGCAAAGTCATTGAACAAGCAATTAATAGATCAAATATATAAACCTAGTTTACTTGCTTATATTATCATAAATTATACATAAATTTATTAAATTAATAGAGTTAACTCTACATGCTCTTTATTAATTTATTTATTGTGTATTTTTTTATTGAATGCCTATTCAATGACTTTGCTGAAGCATTAAATAAACAGATTAATAAAGAGCATATAGAGTTGTCTCTACCAATTTAATGAATTTAAATTTAGTTTTAATTCCATGAGACATTAAACCGTTTTATATATATAGTCTAATGTATTTAGCATTTCTTATTTTTAAAAAGAATTTATTTACATTAATAAAAATCCTATATTATTATTAAAAATTTAAATCCTCATTAATTATCAATTTTTTACTACATATATTTTATTTATAATATTATGAGAAACTTTTAGAAGTTAAATTTCATTTCTTGCAAATTAACAAAATATAAAATAAATTATATAAATGCTACAAAATATGAAAATTTATTTATTGTTAATATAAAATTTTCTTATATAAATTTAAATAAAAATATACTACAAGAAACATTTTAGTCTATAATTATTTCTTCTATCTTTTAACAATTTAAATTTATTTTTTAAAAAAAATAAATACATTTTTTTATTTATTTAAAATTTACCATGAGAAAACGAAAAAATTATTTAATTTTTTTCTCTTTTATCTAGCACTTTCATGTCTATGTATTTTCTATATATCTATTATTTCTTTATTACCAAAAAGGTTAATAATCTCTTTTATTAACCAGTAGGTGAAGTTAATTCTACATTAATAACTTCTTATTACTTTTAATCGAGACATTTCACCAATTGTTTGATTTCATTTATATAATATTTCTTTACCTAATTTCTAGTGTTTTGACATTAGGTTTCTCTTGCATTTTAATGAAAAATTTATGTTCATCTCTGAGTTCCATTATTTAATTTTTTCAGAGTTTTGCATTATTCTCAAATATTTTTTTTAACTAATCTTTGTTTGTCTCATAAGTTAAATTAGATTCTTCAAACATGAATAATTTCTTTTTTACATTTTTCTAGATTTTTTTCCTTTTTTTCAGGTTTTACTTCTGTAATATATATATATATATATATAATTATTATTGCTTTTAGCAATTGATTTGTTAATTGTCTGATTATTTTGCTAGAGTATTGAACAAACGGATTAATACATAACATATTGGTTAATAAAAGGCTTCATTAACCTTTTTGGCTATAAAAGGACTAGCTATGTGGAGAATACGTAGTTAGTTCGCTAACTAAAAAAAAAAAAAAATTATTGGAATTTTTTTTTGAGATATGTTTCTTTGGAAAACGATAAAGATAAAAAAAAAAAAAATAAAAAAAAGATTTATTATTAATTTTTTTTTGGAAGGAAAGAGATTTTAAATTGAGAGAGAGATATTTTTTTTACAAAAGATAATAATGTTTTTTTAAAAGAGTTTAATTTGCATAATATTTATATTTTGAATTTATGAGAGAAAATTTTATTCATATGACAATAAAATTTTCACGTAACTAATATTCATATAATTTATTTTCATCTTAATAACTGTTTATGTTTGCTAATTCAACAGCAATATATGTAAATAGCTGAATATAACTAACAACAAAGAAATAATTAATTTACATTTAATTATTAGTCAATAATCAATAAGGATTTAAGTTTTTAATAAAAACAAAGATATTTATTAAAGTAAATAAATAACTGTTGAAATTAAAGAATGTTGAACGATGTAGAGCACATAGTTAAGAAGTACTCGTTCAAAGCATATAAAAATACATATAAATACAACAAAATCGTAGAGACACCTCTACATGCTCTTTACTAATTCGTTTGTTCAGTACTCGAGTGAAGTCACCGAACACCCACTTAATAAATCAATAGGATAATTTTTCAGTAATTCATTATTATATATAATATTTAATATTATGATTAATAACATAAGTAGAAAACTCTCTATATTCTCTTTATTAACTCGACTAGTTAAAAAACTATAAAAGTGTTTGAATAGAATATTAATAAATCAAATATTAAGAAAACAGTTTAATAAAGTCTATGCATATTAGTTACTGTCTATTGTATTAATTATATCAATATTTTTTTTATGAATTAATAATATTTATTTAATTAAATTATATAACATAAATAGTTTATTTAATATAAATATTAGAGTTCTTTATATAAAAGCATATTAACACAATTTTTTTATTATTATGAACATAATAATTATTTATTATATAATATTTATCTAATTTCATGAAAAGTTCTGGCTATAAAAATAAAATTTAAATTCTCAATATAATTATCTATGAATATATATAAAATAATCTTCATTTATGCAAGTTAATAATTCTCCATAAAATAAGAACTTATTAAACAAAAAAAAAAAAAAAAAAAAAAAGAAAAAATAATATTCATTCAAAACAGAAGATAATTAAATTTTTTCAAATTAAATTGCCTAATTTATGAAAAAAAATAATTACAAAAGAGTAAAAAAAAAAACTATTAATGAATATATTATTACTAAAAAAAAAAAAGTATTATTCAAGGAAAAAAATTAAAATTTCTTTTATATTATATATATATATATATATCTGTACGACAATATTTTTAGCCATATTAATAAGGTATTTTTTTAAATATATTACATTCCTAATTATTTCTCTGCATTATATTAAAATTCATTTATTTAAAAAGATGAACAACACATTTTTTGAGTAAGAATATAATTTTAGTATTTTCTTTTCTATAAGATTTTTTATTAGAATTTTATACATTATATTACTTTAATTGTACCTAAAATCTTATTTTTCTTTTATTACATGAACATAATAGAAGGAACTCCATTTTATTATATTTGTTATTATTAATTAAATGATAGTTATAATTAAAATATGCATGTTACATCTTCATTACCTTTATAATTTATATTATGACACATATTATTTTTTTTATATTTATGTAGTTATTTATAATGATTCATTAATAAATACATGATAGTAATTACTATTAATTTTTCATTTTCTTTTATTGAAATGCTATCATTTTTTTAATGATAAAAAGTATGCATGTAATCAACTTAAAATTAAATTTAATTTTTCACTATAATTAAAATATATACAAATGTAGTGACATTACTATATTATCAATGGAATAAAATTAAAATGATTGTTAATTAAATTCTCAATATATGTTATGTAATGTATCTTCATAATTTTGATTGTAAAATTAAAATTGCTATTATTATTACATTTATTTTAAATGCATGTAATTCCTTCATATTACCCTCTTTTTACTTATTTTTTTTCATTTTTCTTACTTTTACAAGTATTTTATGTATTATACTGCAAATTAAAAAATAAATTAATGCATGCATAAATTTTTAATATAATATTTTTTCTAAAACTAAAATTCTTTTAATTTTATACCATTATCATGTTAAATTATAATAAAATAGAAAACCACAATAATCATAATTAGAAAAAAATAAAAGATTTCATTGATTATTTTTAAGATTTATTATATATAATAGTTTAAAAGTCTATATATATCATTGTTATCTCCATATCATGATTTAAATTATAATAAAATTATTTTTCATTTTTCTCTTTTTATTATTATTATCACAATTGAACTATTGTAATCCTAAGAACCAGAATATCATTTTACATTCACTGGAATTTTCAAATGGGATAATGTAATTATTAATTTTTTCTCTATTCATATGTTTTTTTTAAATTATATATTATCTTTCTTTTTTTAAAAATAAGGCGAATTTTGTACATTTTGAATTATTTTTTGAAAAGTTATTAGTAAAGGAAATACTTAATTATTAATCCTTAATAATTAGTGCATATATGCAACATTTTATTGATAAATTGTGTTTGAATAATAATTACCTTAACATATTTATAAAAATTTATAACAAAAATTAAAGCAAAATACCCTTGAAGGGATTTTTTTCCTTAGATACGTTAATATATATAACTTTTTCTATATATATTTTAGTTGTTTTATTTTTTAAAAAACTAGTAATATTAATTATACCATAGAATATATAAAAACATATATAGAAATAACAAAAATAACATATAAAAACTAATTTCTAATTAAAAGCATATTTTATATTTTAAATAAAAGAAAATAAACATGAGAAACCTTATTATCTCAAATGTTACTTCAAAATCTAGGAACAATACTCATATAGCTGAAAATTTTATTATTGAAGATATTTCAACTTCAAGAAAATATCATGCAAAAGGGAAAATAAATAAATTCATTTTTTTTATAAAAGTTTTTTTATTTACTCTTTTAGTTTGGATATTACTCTGTTCTGATAATGTAGAAAATAATAAAATTTATAAATTTTTCTATTGTTATTTTATACTTTCTTTCTAAATTAAAATTTTTTTAATAAAAAAAAAAATAATTTTTTAAATATTTAATGTTTTCTTTTTGCTTTAGAATATTCAAAGATCCTTAAATGAAAAATGTAGCTTAAAAAACAACTTAAATTTAGGAGCTAAAAGGTTTTTAGCAGAAAATAAAGAAATAACAGAACTAACAAATGATGAACTAAAAACCCGCTTATCAGATTTATTAAAAACATTAGAAGAAAAGAATACAAAAGATTCAAATGTGCAATCAGATGTGGTACAGGGTAAAGTGGAAACAATTGAGATAGAAAATGAAAATTCAGTTAGTAGAAGGGAGAAAAGCAATAAAAAAATAAATAGTAGGGATCTAATGGAAAAATACAAGAAGTGTATGAGATTATTTAATTTAGCTTCTATTATTCTTTTACCTGTACTGTCAATGACAGTATCCATAGTAGCATTTACCTCCACTGATCAAAAATATATCAATATATCTAATATAATAACTAGTTTATATCTTGTATTAAATTCAATTCTTTTGTCGGATTTACGATCAAATAAAGATAATAAGTAAAAGCAAATTAAGAATAATTTCTTAATTAAAAATTATTGTCTATCAAAGATAGGTTTCACAGTATGGATGTTAACAATATTTTAATTATTATTACGTCTTCAAGCCTAATAATTATGAATGTATAAGTTCCATTTTTTTATTGAATGATATTTCAGAATTAGAATGTTCACAAGTAAGGCTACATTCTTTATAAGTTCCACAAAATTTGCATTTTTAGTTTGTTCGTTAGAGTATACTTTTAATATAAGGTAAATCGTCTTTTAATATATATATACAAATATTGTTTTATATTTTCGTTAAGTTCATTTTGCATAATAATTAGAAAAAATGCAATTTTTTAAGAAATTCATTATTAATTTGAAGAAAAATTTTTCCATATAAAAAATTTTAAAAGAACATTTCATTAAAATTTATTTCTAGATAATTCATATATGGTATATATCTTATAGAAACTATATGAGTATTTCAATTAATTTTCCTATGTTATAACTGATATAGCTATGTTGAATAAATGAATTTATAGTTTTACGCTGAAACTAATACAAGTATTTTTATAATTTAGTATTAAATTGAATTTTATATTTTAATTTTGAATTAAATATGAAACTAGAATTTCATTATTTTAATTAATTTATATTAACACGCTCTTTCTTTTTATATATCAATATTTGTTAATTAAATATATTGAATAATAAAAATTGGTTACAAAGATAATAAAAAATTTAATACCATAAATATTTATTAAAAATAGTTTTAATCTTGAAAGAAAATTATTAAAATATTTTTTATTTTTTTACCTTCATTAAACAAAGTATACACATGTGTTTTATTAAATACTAATTTGTGACTTTCCTAGAGTACATACAAACAAATTAATAAGGAGCATGTATAGTTGTCAATATGATTTATTAACTGGGTGTTCTGAGACTTTGCTAGAGTACTAAACAAACCAATTAATAAAGAGCATGTAGAGATGACTCTACGATTTTCTTATACTTATGTATATTCTTATATGCTTTGAGCGAATGATCTTTAATCATAAACTACTTCGTTCAGCATTCTTTTGCTTCAATAAGTATTTATTTACTTTAATAAATAAATCTTTATTTTATTAAAAATTTAAACACTTATTTAACATTAACTATTAGTTAATTATAATTATTAGTTTATTTATTACGAGTTATATTCAGCAATCATTTTATATTGCTATCGAATTAACAAAACACAAATACTTATTAAAAATGCAAATAAATTATATGCATATTAATTACATGAAAATTTTATCTTCATATGTATAAAATTTTCTCTCACAAATTCAAAATAAAAATATTATGCAAATTAAACGCTTTACAAAAACATTATTATCTTCTGTAAAAAAAAATCTCTCTCTCCATTTTCCAAAAAAAAAAATTAAATCTTTTTATTTTTTTTTTTTTTTTATCTTTATCTTTATCTTTTTCGAAAGAAACATTTCTCAAAAAAAAAATTCCAATAATTTTTTTTTTTTTTTTTTTTTTTTTAGTTAGCACAACTAACTATGTATTCTCCACATAGCTAGTCCCTTTATAGCCAAAAAGGTTAATGAAGCCTTTTATTAACCAATATATAACAATAAAATTTTCATGTAATTAATATATATATAATTTTTTGTATTGTCAATAATTGTTTATGTTTGTTAATTCAACAGCAATATTTTTAAATTGCTGAATATAACTCACAACAAAGAAATAATTAATTTACATTTAATTATTAGTCAATATTCAATAAGGATTTAAGTTTTTAATAAAAACAAAGATTTTTATTAAAGTAGATAAATGCCTAGTGAAATTAAAGAATGCTGAATGAAGTAGATTACATAATTAAGGATCACTCGTTTAAATCATTTAAAAATATATATAAATAAATCAAAACGGTAGAGGCAACTCTACGTGCTCTTTATTAATTTGTTTTTTTAGTACTTTAGCAGAGTTACCTAACACCCAATTAATAAAACACTAATACAAAGTTTTCCTCTGTAAATTTAAACAAAAAAAAAAAAATACTAAAAGAAACTATTTTATCATCATTTCTTTTTTCTATATTTCAATTATATATAAAATCCTTTAAATAAAAAAAAAAAACATGTTTTTTTGTCTTAAAATTTAGAAAAAGAAAACAATAAATAAATTCACATTTTTTTTTTTCAAGCGTTTGCATGGCTATTTATTTTCAATACTGCTATCATTTTTTTTATTCTCAAAAATGTTAATAGTTGTTTTTATTAGAAAATTAAAAAATTGATTATAGACTACTAAAAATAGTAAGAAAAAGTTAAAACTTATGCATAAATTAAAACCTAAAAACTATTCTAATATTTATAATGAAATGTTACAACACTATATGAATTGAATAACAATGAAGACATTAAAATAGATAAGGATATATGAAAAAAAATCAAAATTATTAAAAGAGCTAGAGAGAATAAAGTAAAATAATGTCATTATTTTTCTCAAAGTGGTTAAACATGGTCTACTAATAATATTACAGATATATTTCTTATAATGTTTAGATGAATAATGTGAGTTAAAGCATTTTATTTTGTTCATGCTAAATCAAACGGAAAATTTGTACTCATAAACATATACACTAAGGTAGGTTCTTAAAAGTTATATAAACAAAAAAAAAAAAATATATAAATATTTTTTTTGTTTTTATGTGTATATTTATAATTATAAAAAATATATATATTTTTTTTTTTTTTTATATGACTTTGACTTTGAAAAAAAATATATGATAATGGTTTTGTTTTTTTTTTTTTTTTTTCTTTATTTTCTCTTACTTTTTTTTAAAGAAAAAAATTAATTCTTTTCTTTTTTTCTGCGTAGTTGAATAATATGGAAGCATAATTTTTTTTCATGTTTTATTAAAAATGTAAGGTAAAAGATTACGCACGTAGAAAATTGTGTGAAATAATTTAAATAATAATTAAGGTAATTAATATTTGATATTAATTAGTTAAAGTAAATAATTTATCTAATAATTTATTTTTATAAGAATAAATTAAATAGAGCATACATGCTCTTTATAATTTGTTTTTTTATTAATAACAAGGTCATCTAAAAGTCAATTAATAAATCATATGGTTAACTATGTATTTTCTAAACAATTATTAATTCTTTATTCTAAAAAAGGCCAATAATGTCTTTTAATAACAAAATATATTTTCTGTAATTTGTTAATTTTAAGAAAATTTAGTAAATTAAAAATATGCATATTAAAAAAATTTTTTTTTTTTTTTTTTTTTTTTTGTATGAACACTTAAAAAAAGTTATACAAGTGTAATTTTATGCGAAAGATTATTTTTTTTATTTTTTTTTATTATTCTTTAAAAAAAAATAATTTTTCTTTAAAGTGGCTTTTATTAAAAATACATAGTGTTGTGTATAGTATTTGTTTTATAAAGTATATGTTGACTCAATTGTGAAATAAATAATAAAGTCAACATTAAATAATATCTCATTAAAATTAATAAATACATAATAAAATTAACTTTGCTTCTAAAGTAAAATTAATGTTAAATAGTATAATTTTTCAGTAATTCATTATTATATTTAACATTTAATATAATGATTAATAACATAAGTAGAAAACTCTCTATATTCTCTTTATTAACTCGACTAGTTAAAAAACTATAAAAGTGTTTGAATAGAATATTAATAAATCAAATATTAAGAAAACAGTTTAATAAAGTCTATGCATATTAGTTACTGTCTATTGTATTAATTATATCAATATTTTTTTTATGAATTAATAATATTTATTTAATTAAATTATATAACATAAATAGTTTATTTAATATAAAAATTAGAGTTCTTTATATAAAAGCATATTAACACAATTTTTTTTTTTATTATGAACATATTAATTATTTATTATGTAACATTTATCTAATTTCATGAAAAGTTCTGGCTATAAAAATAAAATTTAAATTCTCAATATAAATATCTATGAATATATATAAAATACACTTCATTTATGCAAGTTAATAATTCTCCAAAAAATAAGAACTTATTAAACAAAAAAAAAAAAATAAAAAATAAATAAAAAATAATATTCATCCAAAACAGAAGATAATTAAATTTTTTCAAATTAAATTGCCTAATGTATGAAAAAAAATAATTCCAAAAGGGTAAAAAAAAAAACTATTAATGAATATATTATTACTAAAAAAAAAAAAGTATTATTCAAGGAAAAAAATTAAAATTTCTTTTATATTATATATATATATATATATCTGTACGACAATATTTTTAGCCATATTAATAAGGTATTTTTTTAAATATATTACATTCCTAATTATTTCTCTGCATTATATTAAAATTCAGTTATTTAAAAAGGTGAACAACACATTATTTGAGTAAGAATATAATTTTAGTATTTTCTTTTCTATAAGATTTTTTATTAGAATTTTATACATTATATTACTTTAATTGTACCTAAAATCTTATTTTTCTTTTATTACATGAACATAATAGAAGGAATTCCATTTTATTATATTTGTTATTATTAATTAAATGATAGTTATAATTAAAATATGCATGTTACATCTTCATTACCTTTATAATTTATATTATGACACATATTATTTTTTTTATATTTATGTAGTTATTTATAATGATTCATTAATAAATACATGATAGTAATTACTATTAATTTTTTATTTTCTTTTATTGAAATGCTATCATTTTTTTAATGATAAAAAGTATGCATGTAATCAACTTAAAATTAAATTTAATTTTTCACTATAATTAAAATATATACAAATGTAGTGACATTACTATATTATCAATGGAATAAAATTAAAATGATTGTTAATTAAATTCTCAATATATGTTATGTAATGTATCTTCATAATTTTGATTGTAAAATTAAAATTGCTATTATTATTACATTTATTTTAAATGCATGTAATTCCTTCATATTACCCTCTTTTTACTTATTTTTTTTCATTTTTCTTACTT